CATCACACAGCTGTTCATCCCTCTGGGACTCACTGCATCACACAGCTGTTCATCCCTCTGGAACTCACTGCCTCACACAGCTGTTCATCCCTCTAGGACTCATTACATCATACAGCTGTTCATCCCTCTGGGACTCATTGCATCATACAGATGTTCATCCCTCTGGGACTCATTACATCATACAGCTGTTCATCCCTCTGGGACTCATTACATCATACAGCTGTTCATCCCTCTGGGACTCATTACATCATACAGCTGTTCATCCCTCTGGGACTCATTACATCATACAGCTGTTCATCCCTCTGGGACTCATTACATCATACAGCTGTTCATCCCTCTGGGACTCATTACATCATACAGCTGTTCATCCCTCTGGGACTCATTACATCATACAGCTGTTCATCCCTCTGGGACTCATTACATCATACAGCTGTTCATCCCTCTGGGACTCATTACATCATACAGCTGTTCATCCCTCTGGGACTCATTACATCATACAGCTGTTCATCCCTCTGGGACTCATTACATCATACAGCTGTTCATCCCTCTGGGACTCATTACATCATACAGCTGTTCATCCCTCTGGGACTCATTACATCATACAGCTGTTCATCCCTCTGGGACTCATTACATCATACAGCTGTTCATCCCTCTGGGACTCATTACATCATACAGCTGTTCATCCCTCTGGGACTCATTACATCATACAGCTGTTCATCCCTCTGGGACTCATTACATCATACAGCTGTTCATCCCTCTGGGACTCATTACATCATACAGCTGTTCATCCCTCTGGGACTCATTACATCATACAGCTGTTCATCCCTCTGGGACTCATTACATCATACAGCTGTTCATCCCTCTGGGACTCATTACATCACACAGCTGTTCATCCCTCTGGGACTCATTACATCATACAGCTGTTCATCCCTCTGGGACTCATTACATCATACAGCTGTTCATCCCTCTGGGACTCATTACATCATACAGCTGTTCATCCCTCTGGGACTCATTACATCATACAGCTGTTCATCCCTCTGGGACTCATTACATCATACAGCTGTTCATCCCTCTGGGACTCATTACATCATACAGCTGTTCATCCCTCTGGGACTCATTACATCATACAGCTGTTCATCCCTCTGGGACTCATTACATCATACAGCTGTTCATCCCTCTGGGACTCATTACATCATACAGCTGTTCATCCCTCTGGGACTCATTACATCATACAGCTGTTCATCCCTCTGGGACTCATTACATCATACAGCTGTTCATCCCTCTGGGACTCATTACATCATACAGCTGTTCATCCCTCTGGGACTCATTACATCATACAGCTGTTCATCCCTCTGGGACTCATTACATCATACAGCTGTTCATCCCTCTGGGACTCATTACATCATACAGCTGTTCATCCCTCTGGGACTCATTACATCATACAGCTGTTCATCCCTCTGGGACTCATTACATCATACAGCTGTTCATCCCTCTGGGACTCATTACATCATACAGCTGTTCATCCCTCTGGGACTCATTACATCATACAGCTGTTCATCCCTCTGGGACTCATTACATCATACAGCTGTTCATCCCTCTGGGACTCATTACATCATACAGCTGTTCATCCCTCTGGGACTCATTACATCATACAGCTGTTCATCCCTCTGGGACTCATTACATCATACAGCTGTTCATCCCTCTGGGACTCATTACATCATACAGCTGTTCATCCCTCTGGGACTCATTACATCATACAGCTGTTCATCCCTCTGGGACTCATTACATCATACAGCTGTTCATCCCTCTGGGACTCATTACATCATACAGCTGTTCATCCCTCTGGGACTCATTACATCATACAGCTGTTCATCCCTCTGGGACTCATTACATCATACAGCTGTTCATCCCTCTGGGACTCATTACATCATACAGCTGTTCATCCCTCTGGGACTCATTACATCATACAGCTGTTCATCCCTCTGGGACTCATTACATCATACAGCTGTTCATCCCTCTGGGACTCATTACATCATACAGCTGTTCATCCCTCTGGGACTCATTACATCATACAGCTGTTCATCCCTCTGGGACTCATTACATCATACAGCTGTTCATCCCTCTGGGACTCATTACATCATACAGCTGTTCATCCCTCTGGGACTCATTACATCATACAGCTGTTCATCCCTCTGGGACTCATTACATCATACAGCTGTTCATCCCTCTGGGACTCATTACATCATACAGCTGTTCATCCCTCTGGGACTCATTACATCATACAGCTGTTCATCCCTCTGGGACTCATTACATCATACAGCTGTTCATCCCTCTGGGACTCATTACATCATACAGCTGTTCATCCCTCTGGGACTCATTACATCATACAGCTGTTCATCCCTCTGGGACTCATTACATCATACAGCTGTTCATCCCTCTGGGACTCATTACATCATACAGCTGTTCATCCCTCTGGGACTCATTACATCATACAGCTGTTCATCCCTCTGGGACTCATTACATCATACAGCTGTTCATCCCTCTGGGACTCATTACATCATACAGCTGTTCATCCCTCTGGGACTCATTACATCATACAGCTGTTCATCCCTCTGGGACTCATTACATCATACAGCTGTTCATCCCTCTGGGACTCATTACATCATACAGCTGTTCATCCCTCTGGGACTCATTACATCATACAGCTGTTCATCCCTCTGGGACTCATTACATCATACAGCTGTTCATCCCTCTGGGACTCATTACATCATACAGCTGTTCATCCCTCTGGGACTCATTACATCACACAGCTGTTCATCCCTCTGGGACTCACTGCATCATACAGCTGTTCATCCTTCTGGGACTCATTACATCATACAGCTGTTCATCCCTCTGGTACTCATTACATCACACAGCTGTTCATCCCTCTGGGACTCATCGATTGTGCTAGGGGCCAAAAAGTTAGAAATCCAAATTTGTCAAATCTGCTGTTGAAACAGAAGGTGAGTTGCGTAAAATTATAGGAATTTTCAATACATTTGCCTAACGTGACATCGTAAACATGGTCATTCAATTGAACTTACTTGAAAGCTCTTTATCCAAGCATTTATTTTATCAACGTCATTACATTTTAGGAATAAGATTCATCAGTTATGTGGAACAATAGATGTAAAGTTTGTTTTGAACTGAATATTTTCTTTCCTCAATACGTTATCAATTTTTCCCGTTGTCATTCTTTATATTTCGTGTATTCGGTAATGTATGCAAATGTACAATAGACCATGGGCTGGTTGGCTGTGTCTTTGTCAGAAATGGTCGATAATTTGTTGTTATTGCTGTTACGTTTGGTTTTAAACAATCCATGATGTTGGTTCTTTCTCTTAGTCTTAGTAACTGTTTTTAGCTCTGTCTATGGAGCTACGCGCCCTAATTGTGTTGACAGGGCACTGCAGTTGCAGTGAAACTGCATCTTAAACATCACTAATTCTCCTGACGAGCGAATTTCTTGTTGACTCCTGTCTTAAAGTATGGACTAAAGACTGTCAATATCTCAATCTAATACTCGGAATAAGATTCATCAGCTTGGTATGAATAATAGATGTTAAGTTTGTTTTGAACACAAAAACAAATTTGGTTTACCACATTTAGTGTAACAGCTGCAACCTCACCATGCTAACACACACAACCACATCATAGACAGAAACAGGTCGAAAGATCGACGCGAAGCGACGAAGGGGGCCACCAATTGAGTCATCTTTATGACCCTTTTTTAACATCCAACAAGGAGTGGAATGGGAAAACACGTTACTTTCACCCTGACTGCCTGCAGGATTGGACTGCCATTTGGCGAAATGTTCCAATGTTTTCTCACAGTTGACTTTACAAATTCGGCAAACTGTAGTTTAATCACTTGTTTTCAGCGGTTTAAAGTCGAGATACCGGTCATTTATACTCCTTGCTTTTCGAAAGCTCGCAAAAAGGGGTTAATTCCTGTGTATGTTCAAAATAATAATAGCATTTATAAAGTCATTTAATGATTTCAACACATTAAACCCATGCGACCTTCAAAGGTCATCCATTAGAACAAAATGTATTGCATTTATCACCAAAACTCTCTTTTGTATTCAAAGGAAGGCGTTAAAGTATGTCAACACAATCGGACCCAATAATCTTCGAAGGATGTCAAGGTTTTTTATTCAAACAAACTTGATGGTCCTTTATTTCAACATGCTACAGGCCAAAGATCTTGCATAAGGCTCTTCGTTAATTCAAAAGAGGTTCACAATAAAAAAAATGTTGACGGACGACACCTAAGCTCATAGACATTTGTTCCAGATGAGCTAACAACAAATTTATTTTTGAGGGGTAGTTTTATAGGAATGAAATCGTATCTTGAAATATTGCTTTTAAATGCAATTTTGTTAAATGTTTTGAGGTTTCGAAAGTAGTATGCCAACTTCGCCTTAAAAACTCAAAACAGGCTTCAAGGAAATTAAAAATTAAAGGAAAAAAACCCACTATAAATTAAAACTTTTTCTTTAATAGGTGTCATTAATTTTTGTTCGTTTAAACATATCTAACAATTCAAGCTTTTAGCTAACTGTAATAACATTTTATGAAACATTTAAACTTTACATAAATACAAGTAACAGAAATCCAATACATATAACATTGTAATTGTACATACAGTAATACACCATGGAAATGGTGTTCAATACTTATTAAATCTATATAGTCATATAGTCTTTATAAAAACATTTGGATACTTTTTTTGTTAAATATAAAGATTAGTTTAACGAATGACACAAAATACATTTCATACCTCTCCGAATCCCATGTGAAGAAGTATCGAAAATATAAAATTGTGGTTTGTAGACGAAGCACGTTATTGTATGAAGGGAAAAGTACTCATGTTTAACGGTATTGTCCATTAAAGTCTTCACATGACTAAGAATTTAAAATAAAGCCACTTGTTTTTTTATGCTCTCAAAAAAATATTCCTAAAACAAGAAACGTCAAGACATTAGATCCAGCCAGCGTTTTTGGGTGGACCGGTGGAGGCGGGTGGTTTCTGGCCGCCGCCTCCTCTTCTCATGGCTTCTTGCACCTTCTGCCATGAACTTTTCTTCTTCATCTCGAGCTTCACACGTGCACTGTGCAGGCTTGTGCGCGTGCCGATAATAAGCCCAAGCCCCAAGGCAGACAGGATGAGAACGAGGATCAGAAGGGCGTAGTTGGCTAGCTGCCAGGCGGTGATACACGTGCTATAGGCCACAATACCTGTAAATAAAGTGGCATCGATTACATAACGTTACAAATACACTCGTTTCACTCCATAGAACCTTCAAATATCCTAAATATGGTTCCTTTCTAAAGGTACATATTGACATTGGAACGTCCCGAGGCTGTACCACATATCTTGAAGATATTTATATCGAGAGAGAAACCTAAAAGTTTAAAATGGTTTTAAATATGGCAATTCCACATTGTATTTATAACTAAATCATTTGATCTGATCAAATAGACGTTTGATTAACTCAGTATGATATTGTTCATGCGCGACACTTCAACAGTGAAACCAAGGGTTCGTTGTAAATGCTTTGTCTCTAAAAGGTAAGCACCAACAAAGTAAAAGGTCAAAGTCACACCAAAATAACACAGTTCTCAGACTATTTTATTGTGTTGAATGACAGATAACAAAACAAACGTTAGAGAAACTCTTCTGAATGTAATAACAATCTTCAGAGGAAATGACACATCAGAATAGCACAAGGCACACACTGAAGTCAACGGACAAGACACACTTCGGTCAAACAGTTTGGCACACGTGAGTAAATGTCAACGCGTAATGGTAGACGTGTCAGTAAAGGACTTTTTTGGGCTAATGCTTGGACATTATGTATTACTTGACGTGTCAGACCAAGCGATGACTCCATGTCTACATTGAGGTCCAGACACTAGATACTGTCGGTAACGCTGGAGACCACACAGGAACTCTCTGACTCGTCTTTGTTAGATTCAACGGGTATTCCAGAGCTCGCCTTAACCCAAACTTCAGATAATATGTCAATGATGTTTTAGACTTTTCGTAGACTTTGGTTCATTGAGACACAGTGTAATGATAAGTTAGACCCAGCGAAGACCGCTAGGCTCTTCCGTACTCTTAGCCTCAGCCTCTTTCTTGTCTCTGCTGTATCTGTAGCCCCGTGTAGAAATGTTGATCGACGTCACTTCTCTGGGGTGCTCTTTCACTGCCCGTCTCGTCTTCAAGACGCTGATAAGAATGGCGCACGATATAATCAGAATGGCCACGTTTGCGCCCCCATCTCCGAATAACATGGCGTATGTTATGCATTCCCCGCCGAGAACCACACCTGGAAACAGACGGGGAATGCATTACATCCTTACAGCACAGTAAATTGGGGTACGAGGTTATGGAGGGGNTTGCATTTTTAGAGGGTTCAATTGCTGCTTCGAGGTCAACGGTTAGATCTTGCATTCTTAGAGGTTTCAATTGGTGCCTCGAGGTCAACGATTATCTTGCATTCTTAGAGGTCTCAATTGGTGCTTCGAGGTCAACGGTGTTGTATTGCATTCTTAGAGTGTTCAATTGGTGCTTCGAGGTCAACGGTGTTGTATTGCATTCTTAGAATGTTCAATTGGTGCTTCGAGGTCAACGGTGTTATATTGCATTCTGAGAATGTTCAATTGGTGCTTCGAGGTCAGCGGTGTTATATGGCATTCTTAGAGGATTCAATAGATGTTTTGGTACCAACACTTAAATCTATATTCTTAAAAAGGTCAACAAATAGCATTTGGGTCAAAGGTCACATATTACACGTTTTACATGGAAAGACAGGTGTCATTCGGTAAAAAGTTATTTATTACACAAAGGGGTTTGAGGGTTGTGCTCGTTTTTTCAATTTTAGACGTTGTCATGTAAATGGGTTTTTTTCAGCCGAAACGTTTTCTCCAAAAAAGGGTATCATAAGACTATCTCAACCGAATGTTTTTCTTGAAGATTCTGTATCAATGATCTAACATGGCTTTTATACTTTCTCAACTTCAAAATGACCTTTAAACCATCCCAACATAAACAAGAGGACTAATTGTACTGGTGAATATTGTGATAGATACAGTCTTGTAGCTTTAAATCACCCGCCGAACTCGTTTTTTTGTGTCCAGAACCGAACATTTGCAGTTGTCCATTGGTTTTAATTTTGCGAGTGGCAGGAAGGTCATTCGAGGTCAACTCCGGGACTGCTTATTCCAGTAAGAACCAGAGGTTAGAGGTCAATACTTGGTTGGTGAAAATCAGAATAGCGGCAAGAAACTTCACCACGTGACAGATCCTTACATCACGTAGCATTGTTAGTCGTGTTTAATCAGTCTTGAGTTTGGAGATCCGGGGTTCGAATCCCGACTTCAGGGAGGTTAAGGAATGTAACGCAACTGGACTGGGTCGATCGCCGGCGACCAGGTACATCATAACTCAATTCGTTAAAGTGTCCGTCTAGAGTTTAGAGGGACCCGGGTTCGAATCCCGGTATTGCCGTCGTATTTACCTTTCTTGTGCTTACAAGATAGCCTGTGTCTTCCCTACGTTTGAATGTTGATTGTTATTAAGTGATAGTAAGGGAGATAACTCCACGAATAAAATTAGTATGTGAGGGAGACAACTCGATGACTGAAACTTTAGTTTGTGTTTTACAGGAGGAAGGTGTGTGATTAATATAGACTGTGTCTACCATACCTGGGGTTCCCCGGCAGGCGTCATCCTGCGGACACATGTTGTAGTAATAGGTGGTCGCTCTTTTGTCTGAAATATACATAATTTATAGATAAATGGATAAATAACAATAAATAAATAAACAATCTGAAATCGAGTAGCTCTGATTCTTTTGATTTATATGTGTTATAAGATCGCTGAATAGTGTTACGAAACATTAAATCCGCCGTTATCCGCTCTTGTCCCCGGCACCCTCCTCATCCCTGTGATAAGGTGCTGTAACAATCTGTTGTCAATCAATAACCCTGATTCCTGGACGATATCTATGACTGATAGTTTGGCTGGGTCACACACACCATGCTTCCTATTTCCCGTCCCACACGTGGTGTAATACCTACCCTGACAGTCTGACGGTATCACATCTATTTACATGTAGAGCAATTCACTCCCTCTATCATCACTGTTTCACGTCCTACAGGCTTTCCAGTATGATGACTGGGGATCACACACGATGATTTCCTCTACTACCTCTCTTCCCCGTCAAACGGGCTAGATTTTCATACCGTCATTATCTGATGGTGTTAATTCCCTCACGCTCCCTACCCTCTACCGTCCCATTCCCGTCCCAGGGGCTAGGTGTACCTACCCTGATAGTCTGATGGTGTGTCACACACAGGGCCTCCAATGGCGTTGATGCTCTCCGTGCTGATGGTGCTGAGGATCCAGAGGGAGTCACAGGTACACGCCCACTTGACCCCTGTCAGGTTGAGGTAGTTCAGGGCCCCCAAACTGGACAGCACGTTGTTCTCGAGGCTAGTTAGACTGCTGTGTGACAGAGACAAAGTCTCCACATTCGTGTTCTGTGTGAAGGTATCGGTGGGCAGGGACATGGCCGATGACGTGGAGAGGTTGTCCAGAATGATGGCCTTCACCTTGCTCAGAGGGTAGAAGAAGCCGCTGGGGAATGTATTGGTGTTCAAGGCAAGGTTCATCATAGCGAACATGCCCAGGGCGTTAGGGATCGACAGTTTAGTGATGTTTAATCCGGAAAGACTGTCGGCATTAAGACCGTTAATTGAACCGCCGTCAATTATTAGAGAATCCAGATCGCCGAAGTCGGAGAAGACGTTATTTGGAAGTCCACCAGACAAGATACAGTTTGTTATCTTTAGTTCCTGCATGTAGCTCAGCCCCGAGAAAGTCCCGGCAAACAGCAACAGGTTCCCGTTAGAAACGCATTTGATCTCTAAACTGGCGGGAAAATTGGTGTCCAAGTTGGCAGTGGACATACTACTGAAACCGGAAAACGACGCAGATGGCGAGCTGGCCGGAAGTTGTCCGTCGACGTTGTTGATAACGAGACGCTGGGGATAAGGGGAACTGAAGGTGTTAAATGTTAGAGGAAGCGTCACGGTCGTAAAGTCGCACGTGAATATTCCTGGAATTCCTGTGGTGCTGCTGTATGCACAACCGCTCGGAAAGCTTTGACCGGAAATAAAATCACAGAGTAAAAATAGAACGACCAGCAATGTCCGTCCGAATTTCGAAATCGTCGTCATTTTGATGTTTTTCTGAAAACGAAATGAGTTTGTTTTTTCTTCCTACATCGCAGAAAGTCTGGACATACACAACAACGTGTGTTCCGGATATCACTTCCCCTGTATCATATAACCGCGTCAAAGGCCGCCTTCATTTCCCTTGTCAGAATACGAAAATAGGGCATGTGATCTTCTGAACACTAACCATAGTGCACTGTGGGCCTAATACACGCGACCTGGTGAGGATTTACTGTACGGAAACCTACAGTCGGGCGGATTAAAGATCCTCTGGTGTTTCAATAGACGACTTATGTGTTTACAACATTCTATACAAGTAACGGGTACAATGGTTATTAGACTTTTGCTCTTGTTTATTTTTGTAATTTGTATTGTATTTAACACATTAAACAACAAACAGTCAACTCAAGATATCAGTCGCGTTTATTGAATGTCCTGTATAGATAGTCGTGTGTCGGAGCGACTCCTGTATAGGGACTGGTATGACACTGAAATAATGTGTGATGTATACTTATTTATAAAATGCAAACCTTTTTTATTTTACAATTTGTCTTAGCACTCCTGTTGGCCCAGGTGGAAGAGAGCAGGTAATATTTATGTGGGATGAAACAAAACACCTAGAGAAAACCCATGTGGTCGGTCACGTGATTCAATACTTCTGATCGGGGAGTCGAACCCCGGCCGTCTTGGTGAAGGCGAGCGCGCTATCAACTGCGCCACCCGGCCACCCACATTGTGTGGCGTGTCGAACTTACTCTAATAATAAACAAAACATTGAATTCTACAACCCATACATTTAACTGTCTGTATCACAGTTTCATATCGGTCAAAGCAAGAATATATCTATCAATCAAGGACATGAGCTTAAGATGAATATGTGGTTATTTTAACATGAGAAAAAATATCAACCGTTAAGAAGTCGAGATCATGCTCACTGATAAGATCCATATAACCCGTACAAAAATGGGTTAAGGGATTTTTACAACTTAATGTACAATGTAAATTTCTAAAACGGTTGAGGATATTGACATTTTCTTAAAAATCATGGCAACCGTACATTTTTTTAAACTTAATTTATTAATTGATGTAAATGCATAAATTAAAAAAAAACATTACTGACATGCACTTCCTCATGGCCTATGATAAAAAAAAAAAAAAAAAGAAGATAAAAATACAAATGTCAACTTAAAAAGCTAAAGTGGCTACATTTATTGGTGAATTGATGATATATTCAGTCTGTCGGTCTGGACACTTTGGTTTGTGTGTATTAACCCTCGTTAGTCTGACCACTAATGTTTGGGGTCGGTCTTGACACTTTGGTTTGTGTGTATTAACCCCCGTTAGTCTGACCACTAATGTTTGGTGTCGGTCTTGATACGTTGGTTTGTGTGTATTAACCCTCGTTAGACTGAACACTATTGTTTGGGGTCGGTCTGGACACTTTGGCGTCTGTGTATTAACCCTCGTTAGTCTGAACACCATTGTTTGTTTGGGGTCGGTCTGGACCCTTTGGTTTGTGTGTATTAACACTCGTTTGTCTGAACACTATTGTTTGGGGTCGGTTATGGAGACTTTGGGTTGCGTATATTAACCCTCGTTAGTCTGAACACTATTGTTTGTTTGGGGTGGGTCTGGACCCTTTGGTTTGTGTGTATTGACACTCGTTAGTCTGAACACTTTGATTTGTGTGTATTAACCCTCGTTAGTCTGAACACTTTGGTTTGTGTGTATTGACACTCGTTAGTCTGAACACTGTTGTTTGGAATGGGTCGGTATGGACACTGGTTTGTGTGTATTAACTCTCGTTAGTCTGAACACTATTGTTTGGAGTGGGTCGGTATGTTAACACACGACATGAAATGTAGTTAATGTTAACACAGGACATGAAATGTAGTTAATGTTAACACAGTACATGTAATGTAGTTAATGTTAACACAGGACATGTAATGTAGTTAATGTTAACACAGGACATGTAATGTAGTTAATGTTAACACAGGACATGTAATGTAGTTAATGTTAACACACGACATGAAATGAAAATCCCTCTTGTGTCTTGTATCTAGCCTCATTATACCAGCCAGCCCGAATCTCATGTCATAAATGGTTGGACATATTTTACGGAAAATTGAAACTTATAGATGTCAAAAATATTTCAATCGTTATATTTATGTTCACGGGAAAATTGAATTCCATCTCTTTGAATGGTTTCCTTCTGTGTATGACACATTTTAACAACTTTTATTTTTACCAAATTGAAGATCAGAATTTTTTGCGGCAACAATGTAGTGATTTCTATGGTTACATGTACCGTCAGGTCGGAAACCATTCGGGAATTTCCGTGATAATTTGATTCTCTTCATGATCGGTTCCATTTACTTTTAACAGTAATGAAAATATTCGCTTTAATCGCGTCTTGCTGTTATTTGTTTATAACAAAATACTTGGTTCGTCTGTTTAATCGCATGACTCATTTATCTTAATCGGAACCGTAGCCATCAGACAAAATGATAAAATTTTAATTCATAATCTGTGGGCATTTTTTCTAAATATAAATATGGATGCATATGTAAGTAAATGACATAATTATGAAAACGAAAGTGTAATATAGATATTGATTAGATTGTGACTGTAGTTATTACACGAGATAAGTTAATACAAAAATAACGATTGACCTCATTGGGTGTAAATACCTGTATCAATATTAACCGGTCGAGGGGTAATACCGTAAGAAGATTAATGGGACTTTAAAACAAACTGTAACAATCGGTTAACTGTATTTGGGTGAATTGTTCGGTTTTATAAGCATGTATAATAATTATAAAACACAAACCCTTTCTTTCCATATCAGCTTTGTAAGTTTCTAAAGGCGATTTATTCTAATCCAAACACAATAACTTATTATTCGTTTTTGTCGTTCATAGATATAAAACAAAACTACACAAATAAGTTGTTCGACAGTATCACTATGTAATGTTTAAACTTTATCACACAGTAACCTGTGTCTAAACTCTCGTATAAAATACAAATATTTTAATGAAATAAACATTACTACAGCGGGATCGATTATGGGAACATTTCCATACCGGTGAAGTGGTCATTTCTTTCTTCACCAGAAAGTTTCTTCTTTCCCCACGGAAGAAATAGGGTAACTGATCTTTCCCCGTTTGTATTGTTTTAGAAGGAAACTACTGCTAGGATATTCTTTCCCTTGTAGTACAGGGTTTAAATGAGAAACTATCGACTTGCTGACTCCTTCTTTGCATTTGATTTTAGGAGAAGACTATTGCCTGATTGATTCCCCCAGCCCCGCCCTCTCTTAGTATTCGTTGAGGAAACTTATTAACTAGCTGACTATTTCCTTTTTATCATTCATTGGGGAATGTATGGTGATTTCTTCTGCCGTGTATATTGGCTCTTTTTGGTCACCTTCTTATCTGCCAATCCCTTCGGTTTTGTCCTAAGGATTGGGATTTTTTGGGTAATTGCCCCCCACCCCACCTCCCTCCTCCATCAGGTTTTTTAAAAAGAAATACTGTTAGTTAGGCGATTGTTTTTCTCCCAGGTAATGGTACTGCATTTTAGGGGAGGAACTATTGGTGAACTGAGTGTGACTCCAATTGATATTAGGGGCTTAGAGTGGGGGGATATAGGCTGATTAATTATTTCCCATTGGTTATAATTCTAGGGGAGAGGGACTTTGACTAGATGATTACGCCCCCTCACAACCTTTTCGCCCTTTGAGTGGTTTTAAAGGGAGTTCTGGAATTGGTTTTGAAAGGGGTATACTTTTGGCTAGTGAAAACCAGACATTCTAAAGGTCAAGACAGTTTAGATAGGTATATACCAACCTTCAGAATGTCTGGCTTCAACCAACTATTGACACAACATTATGCCATATCAGAACGGGTTTGTTGAGGCTTGCATTTACTCGATTCGGCTCTATACTAGTTGGCCCCCTCCCCCCGCTCTATACTAGTTTGCCCCCTCCCCCGGCTCTATACTAGTATGCCCCCTCCCCCGGCTCTATACTAGTATGCCCCTTCCCCCGGCTAAATACTAGTTGGCCCCCTCCCCCGGCTCTATATTAATTTGCCCCTCCTCCGGCTCTATACCAATTGGCCCCTCCCCCGGCTCTGTACTAGTTGGTCCCCTCCCCCGGCTCTATACTAGTTTCCCCCCTCCCCTGGCTCTATACTAGTATGCCCCCGTCCCCGGCTCTATACTAGTTTTCCCCCTCCCCTGACTCTATACTAGTTGGCCCCCTCCCCC